TGGATCAGGACACACAAAATGGAATTCACCTGAAGAAAAGGTCTGCGCAATAGAAGTTCCGCGAAAATGCAACCAGCAGCCCAAACATCAACTGCAGCACCGTAATGTTTAGCACCAAACAAAAGTTCAGGTGCTCTATACCATCTAGCAAAAACCTACGAAATTGATGGAGAAAATCAAGATACAAAGATAGCAAAACTCTACATAAATAGCATTGCCACAAAAAGGAGTAGTACCTGGTGAGTAAACTTACGACCTGGACTACCAAATATACGTGCTAATCCAAAATCTGCAAGCTTAAGTTGTCCGTTAGGCCCTATCAACAAGTTATTCGGCTTCATATCCCTGAAACAAACGCGACAAAATGACAATTAATCAGTGTAAACCCAAACAGAACTTATTGGAGAGAGTAAGCAAGTTCTCTAAACCACCCACTAGTACCTGTGCAAAACCCATTTGTCATGGCAATATTCAAGACCTTTAAGTATCATTTGAAGGTAAGATTTGACGTCAGCGGGAGACAGAAACAGATTTGGATCTCGAATCACAGCTTCGAGGTCAGTCTCCATGAACTCAAACACAAGATGCAAATTCTCCTTGTGAGGAAATGCATCAATCAACTCAATTATATGTGGATGCTTAAGCTCTTTAAGCAATTTGATTTCTCTGAGAGCTGTTATATTCACACCTTCCTTTTGCTTACCAAGTCTTATCTTCTTAATCGCTACAATATTTCCATTCTGCAACAAGAAAATTCCCAATCATCCAAAGAAACAAACACTAAAAACTTCAAATCGATTCTCATCAAAACGAAGAAAACATAGAGAAAGATGACAAATTTGATTCAAACAATTAAAACCCATATTGCATAACCTGAAGAAATTTGCAAAATCGACCTTCAATTCTAATCAACCAAAAGCTATCAGAAACCAATATAAACCCTAGATTTATCGGATCGCCACAAATATCGAAGAATTGAGTGAGTGAGGAAAAATCACCTTAGTATCAGTAGCTTTGAAGACGACTCCATAAGTACCTTGACCAAGAACTTCTCGTTTCAGATACCTATCAGCAACTTTCTTCGGCTCCTCCATCTCCGGAACTCAATGTAATAACCCGATAAGATTACAAACCAATGATCGAAATTTGATCGTTGCTCTTGTTACTGTAAGCGTTTGGGTTTATGTTGGAAGCTCCGGCTCCTGATAAAAAGTAGCCGTTAAAGGATTCGCAGAAGAAATCGACATTTGAAGGGAAAAAATATTGGAAAGTAAACGAAAAAGGAAAGAGACGCTCTAAAGCTGGAAAACGTTGGTTGCGTAGGAAAATAAAAGGAAAAAGGTAGAAGACTCTCACTACGACGTCGTTTCTCGAAACCAATAAGGCCAACTTTGTTCGTCAAGCCCAATAATAAGGCCCAAATGACCATTCTCGAGAAAACATCTATAGCCCATTTCTATGGGCTGATAAGAAAACTATACGGTCCAACCATTAGATGGGACAATATGTTTGCACGATGAAATAATTAGCCTGATTTTTTTTTCTTTTTATAATCAAAACAAGTTCATAAATTATACTTGCGGTGTATTGGATATGAAATTTTAGTGGATTTGATGAAGTTTCTGATTTGGTGGGATTTATGTGAATTTTGAGGATATGAATTGATTTTGAGATTTAATTAATTAAAAATATAAAATCATGTTTGTGTGATTTGGTATGTAATTATAGTGATTTGCTTGGATTTGTGGTGATTTGATCGATGTTTATATTTCAATAAAATTTCGATTCCCACTTTTTCAATCATCCTCATCATCACCATCTTTTTCAATATATTGTTTTCAAAAAACAATCGGTTATATATATTTGCACCAAAGAAAAACAATCGGACGACAAAACGAAGAAGAATCATTTTCAGTAAACAATTATACGACAAAAAAGGAAGGATTCTACCGT